CCGAACCCGTAACTACTTCACCACAAATGCATAGCGTTTATATTTAATGCTAAGTTTTTTCAGAATTTTATACAAAAATTTAAAACATTATAGACACACATGTGTGTCTATAATGTTATAAATTTTTGTATAAAATTCAGTGCACATATTATCTACTGTATTAAAAGATTCTAAATAGTTCCAGTAAGAAGTGACTGGTAAAGGTTGGGATAATCTGCACGCTTAAAGTTATACATTTTTGAAAAAAATATATATAATAAGTTTATTTAAAGACATGTTAATGTTACAATATGTATATTAGGGTGATGCAAAAAAAATTTTTTTTTGAATTCTATGCGAGACCACTCGAGTTTTCAAAGAGTATCAAGAAAATAAAAATCTGTAAAAATTTGAGAGAAATCAATTAAAATGTAGAGGTCGCTCAACGCAATTGTTTAATTTAGAAAAATCACGCATCTCAAATGCATTGCTATAAACAAGTAGGCATTTTTCATACAATTTTGAATGAAAATGGTTGAATTTTTTTTTGGTGGACTCTTAATGATTATTCTAATAAATAATGTTGTCCCGATTTCAAAAAATTGTTCATAATATTTAAAAAATATATATTAATTAGCAAATATAGCTTAGTTAACAAATAATTCATTCAATTTTTTTTTTGTTTCAAAATCTGTAAAAACATTGTTAATAGGTCTACAAGCAATTATTAATTCACAAAAACACTCGCCCCCAACGTTAAATATGAGAAAAAAAATAATATTTTAATTAACTACACTTCGCGTCAAATTTAACGCACCACTAAAAGTTTGTCACATTTTCAAAGTTGATTTTCTCGCGAACCGTCAAACCGAATTTAGTGATTTTTATAATAAATTGTAGGGTTATTCTTCGGTAATAATGCGTTTATTAAAATATTTTTTTAAATTAACATTTTGAGTATATACAGGGTGCAAGAGTGATAATAAGTTTTTTCCCGGAAATTTAAAACGCCCTGTGGATTGTACCAGCTATAACAGCATATGTATCTTATAATCTAGCCACATCTTCTCTTAACATTTTGTTTTTTGATTCACCGCGTTATCTTTATTTTTAAATGAAATATACAGCTTAAGATTAAAGAACCAGTTTAATACAAAAATGTAAAAAGAACGATTGTAACAATAACAACAAAAATATTAACAAAATCAATAAAACCAACATTAAAGAATATCATTATCGCGTATTTCTGCCTCTACTTCTAATTACGGCTTCACATCGACGGCTCACACTCGAAACCAGATGTCTAATCTCGTCTTGATCAATGACATTTCATATTTATCGTAGCATATTTGCTACGTCATCAAGGGAGGCAGGCAAGGGATCATGATTTCTTGGTCGTCTACCCATATTATCCCAAAAATGCTCAATGAGGTTGAGATCCGGATTATTTGCAGGCCAGTCTAAAGTTTTAACACCCACCTCATGTAAGTACTCTTGCACTATATAGCATTATCCTGCATCAGTAAAAAATTATTACCGGGCGAAAGGGACAACATGCTGAAATAAAATGTCCTCGATATATCGTACACTATTCATGGTACCTTAATGTTTAATCTTTAAATGTATATTTCATTTAAAAATAAAGATAACCCGGTGAATAAAAATACAAAATGTTAAGAGAACATGGGGCTATAGTTTGATTATGAGACATATGCTGTTATAGCTGGTACAACCAACAGGGCGTTTCAAATTTCCGGAAAAAAACTAATTATTACACTTGCACCCTATACACGAAGAGAAAAATTTTGCTAAAACAACTATCCAAAGTATTGTTAAATTACGTATCGTGAATTTAGTCAACTGTTTTATTAAACTGAGGATTTTTATGGCTAAATCAGCTATACAGATCCTCAGTTTAATAGAACAGTTGACTAAATTCACGATACGTCATTTAACAATACTTTGGATAATTATTTTGGCAAAATTTTTCTCTCCGTGTATATACTCAAAATGTTAATTTAAAATATATTTTAATAAACCGAAGAATCGCGAAGAATAAACCTACAATTTATTATAAAAATCACTAAATTCGGTTTGATGGTTATATATGTATATACTCAAAACTTAAATTTAAAAGAATTTTTTAATAAAGGCATCATAACCAAAGAATAAACCTCAATTTTAAAACAAAAATTACCAAATTCGGTTTGACGGTTCGCGAGAAAATCAACTTTGAAAATGTGACAAACTTTTAGTGGTGCGTTAAATTTGACGCGAAGTGTAGTTAATTAAAATATTATTTTTTTTCTCATATTTAACGATGGGGGCAAGTGTTTTTGTGAATGAATAATTGCTTGTAGACCTATTAACAATGTTTTTACAGATTTTGAAACAAAAAAAAATTTAATGAATTATTTGTTAACTAAGCTATATTTGCTAATTAATATATATTTTTTAAATATTATGAACAATTTTTTGAAATCGGGACAACATTATTTATTAGAATAATCATTAAGAGTCCTCTAAAAAAAAATTCAACCATTTTCATTCAAATTTGTATGAAATATGCCTACTTGTTTATAGCAATGCATTTGAGATGCGTGATTTTTCTAAATTAAACAATTGCGTTGAGCGACCTCTAAATTTTAATTGATTTCTCTCAAATTTTTACAGATTTTTATTTTCTTGATACTCTTTGAAAACCCGAGTGGTGTCGCATAGAATTCAAAAAAAATTTTTTTTGCATCACCCTAATGTATATACATTTGCTACAAAACAATTCACAATTTAAAAATTATATTGTAAGACATTAACAAACAATTTAAAAAGTATTATCCACCTAAACACTTAAAGTGTTTGTATTGTGGGTTTTAAAATTTAAATTATTTTAAACTATTTTAAACAGTACAATAATAAGTTGGTTAGAACATAATTAACAATATTAGTACAAAAATTTAAAATTTCAATTCAAAACAATAACAAATATTGCCAATAATACAAAATAATACAACAAAACAATACAAAACAGTGGGTACAAAAATAATAAAGGAAATTAATTTAAGTATAAAGTTAATAAAATGCTACTTAGCCTAATAGGTTTAAAAAATTTGTAATGTTAATCTGCAAGTAGGTTTTTACTTCTGATTTAAATTTAATATATTTTTTTGTATTTTTTATATTTTCAGGTAGCACATTAAAAAATTTTGGCGCATAATAAAACAGTGATCTTTGACAAAAAAATTTCCTAAAAAAGGTATCTTTATGTTTTTATTGTTTAAACCCAGTCTTGTGGGATAAGTGTGTTGGTTAAGTTCTACGGCTGAAGGATTAAATCTAAATAGAATACAACGAAAAATATAAATTTCCCTAATGGTAAACAAATTAGTTTCCTCGTATAGGGCTGTTGTAGAGTATAATTCGTTTTTAAAGTACATTATCCTTAATATGGTGTTTTGAATTATTTGTAAGGGCTGCAAGGATGTTTTATAGAGCCCTCCCCAAGCCAGTATACAATATCCAACTATTGATTCTACCAAAGAATTGTATACAATCAAGAGATTTTTCCTATTTAGAATATCTCTCAGGCAGTAAAATTTATAAATCATTTTTTTAAGTTTATTGCTTACATATGTTATATGTTCATTCCATTTTAGGTGTTGATCAACCATTATTCCCAAATATTTTATTTTATTTGTCTTTGTAATGCAAGGACATTTGCAATTTATGCCATTACAGTTATTTTGATGTAGTTTTAGTTTGTTTCTAAGTGGTTGATCATGTATTGAAATTGAAAATGTTAAAAATCTGGTTTTATCTATATTCAGTTTAAGATATTTGTGATTTAAATAATCCTCCAGTAAAGTCATACCAGCCTCTGCTGCATCAAACACTGTTTCCCACGAGGCGCCAGAAAATATAATAACTGTGTCATCAGCATAAGAAACAATATGTCCTTTTAGGTTTATTATTTTATTAATATCATTTAAGTATATTAGAAACAAAATGGGACCCAGCACAGTACCCTGTGGAACCCCCATGGTAACTTGCGCTGGTTCACTCATTTTATCCCCTATTTTGACACACTGATTCCTCTCTTTCAAATAATTTTCCATAATTAGTAGAGTATGACCTCTTATACCTATACTTTCCAGTGTCTTTAGAAGGACATCGTGAACAACAGTATCGAATGCCTTAGCCAAGTCAAGAAATACAGCTAAACTTTTTTTATCTTCATCTGCATTAGAAATTATTTCCTTTACAAAGTCTAAGACTGCAAGTTCGGTATTAAAACCACTTCTAAATCCATATTGTGACCCGTTAAGTATTTTATTTTTATCCAGAAATTCCATTATTCTACTTTTTAGACATTGTTCGAAAACCTTGGAAAAGTTATTTATAACAGAGATAGGTCTATAGTTGGTAACATAAGTTTTGTCTCCCTGTTTACGATAGCCTCCTTCCATTGACGTGGAATAGTACATGTACTAAAGCTTAAATTAATGAGGTAACATAATGGTTCTAGAATATAAGTATGTATAATTTTTATTGTTTTTGCTGATATTCCATCTGGCCCTGAAGCAGCGGAGTCTTTAAATTTGGATATGTACATAATAATTTCTTTTACATTTACCGCTTTAAGAAACATTGAGTCACTTATATGTTTTTGATTTATGCTATGTATTTTTTCTTTAATTTTTATTGTTTTTGCCATATTAGTACCTACGTTGATAAAGAATGAGTTAAACAAATTAGCAATTTGCGGTAACTCCATAGGTGATATTTTTATGGGAAAATGTTAACCGAACTAATTTTGTTTCTGTGAAATCAATAGTTTTAACATTATGCGATAATGTACTTCTAACATATACAACAACTATTAATTTTTGAATCATTATAGTAGATATTAAAGCCATTTATTAGAAATTTATTTATACTTTCCAGATTCCAAGTCTCGGAAAGTATAATAATATCCAATTTTTTTAATTTAAGTGATTCCAGATAAATCAAAAGCTCATTATAGTTTTTATTTAAACTCCTAATATTAAAATGTATTAAATTCAAGTTCATATCTTCAATCTCCCTTAAACATGAATGTGAATCATTGCATATAAGAGTTTTTATCTCTTCTTGATCATTTATACTGCTTAATAAGTCCAACATATTTTTTTTTTTAATCTAACAAATAGGTATTACAAATCTAAAAACTTAAAAAACAATACTTAAATTAAAACAATTATATTTATCGACTCATAATTTATAAAAACCACAAGAATTTAAACAATACTGTTTACAAATATATATATTAATTTTTTTTTGTAACGATAACTAAAGTAATATTTACAAAGCTTATAAATTATTTCTTTTCATTTTTTCCTACAGATCTAGTTTTTGGTTTATTGTTATCACTACTTAAATTTATATTTTGAATATTTATTTTGACTGACTTTTCTTTAGGATTTATAATGGGGGTATGTAAAATAGATGTGCCTGGAGACTTTGGATTCTTTTCTGAATAATTTTCTTCCTCCAATACCTTTTCGATGTGTCCTGGATTTGGGGTGGCTGTCGCACTATTAAATTTAGATCTAGGAATCTCGATTTCCTCAATGTTTTCTTGAATTAATTGGTCTGCTGTATAACTCTTTTTGTTGATAATTAATTTATTATTTTTAATATAACACTCGTTTTCAGGATTAGCTTTTGCAACATTAAGATTTTCTCTTAAAATTTTCCCATCACTTCTTTCCTTCAATGTTTGGTCATGATTAATGTATACATTTGTTCCTTTAAGTTTTTGGGTGTTTAGTAAAATTTCTCTTTTTTTAAGATATGATAAAAATTCAACTAAAATTGGTCCTTTTTTTCCTAACTGATAAACATTGTTTACATCAGATTTGTTTATTTCAACTTGGAGCAATTTATTTAAAGAACTTATCGTTTGTTCCACTATGTTGTCGTTATTTTCATTTTTTATTCCAAAAATAACGATGTTGTTACTTTTTTGTTTCTTTTCTAGAGCTTCTATTTTATTTTTTAGGATTTTGTTTTCTGTTTCTATATCGTGCGTCTTACGATTTAATTCTTTTATTTTTAGAAGTAGTTTAGTTTCGGAGGCTTCTATTTTACTTATGAGCTCATTTTTTGAGTTAATAATTTCACTTAAAATTAAATTTGTGTCACTCATACTCGTGAGATATAAAGAAACTTTGACAACAATGTTTGGTTAATGAGAATATTTCTAACCTTTAATTCTGCTTAGTGACTTAATCTTAACACTTTTTGGCCACTGTTTGTATTGTTTTTCTTTTCAATTGCACTATTTTAGGTCTATTTTTCACTAATGTGATGTTATCACTTTTAGAATTAACTAATATCACCAATTTTCTCTATAAATCCATTACAATACACATGCGACGTTGCCGTTATTAATGGAGGTAAAGTATTTGGCATTTTTGTATCTTTATTTGAAATAAAACTTGAAAGCAATTCATCACTTAAATTTAATGATAAATTAAGGGCAGGATGGTTTGGATCAATATTAAGTAATGATAAAAAGTCTCGCTCAACAACACATTTAATATTAGAGAGAACCAAATCAAGCAAACGACCATATTCGTTCAATATGGTGTTTACCTACCTGATTTAATGCCAAAATATTAAAAAAAAACTAAAAACTATTATTATTATTATTATTATAGGCGGTGACCTTTATCCTATGTAATTTTAAGTATTTGTTTATTTGCAAAAAAGTTTATCGTTACAAAGTACTGATTGACCCTTTGATTTTGCGCCCCCACTGCACGCTCGCCAGGAACAGCCCTGAATTCATTCAATGAAATTGTGCATTCCATTCAATGAAACTGTGCATTTCATTGAATGAAATTATGAATTTCATCCAATGAAATTATGAATTTCATTTAATGAAATTATGAATTTCATTCTAATTATTAATTTCATTGAATGAAATGCGCAATTTCATTGAATGAAATGCACAATTTCATTGAATGAAATGCACAATTTCATTGAATGGAATTCATAATTCCATTGAATGAAATTTATATTGTGCATTCCATTCAAATTTAAATTCCATTCAAATTCAAATTCCATTCAAATTATGAATTTCATTTAATGAAATTATGTATGCGCATTAGGTGCAGTGCCGGTTAAAGGATTTTTTTTGGGCCCCGGGCGTTAAAAGTTTTTAGGCTCCATTGCAATTTTTTGTAGTACCAAGTACTACAAAAAAAAGTTCATTTTATAACACTGTTGCTAAATATTTACCGACTGTTGGCTATTGTTTTTTTAGAAAGGTTAAAAAATATTGTTTTAAAAAATAATTTTATTTTAAGCAAATTATAACAAACTAAAAATAAATAAAAATAGACTCTTAAATAAAGAAATAATAAAAAACATAATTTTTAATTAGGTTAGTCGGTTATCTTTATATATTTTTTTCTTGATTTGGCCTGAGCAAATTCTTTGATCACTGAATCACAATTAAGTTTTTGAAAGCTTCGTTTTCTATATAGTGTGACCCATTTGTTTGCAACTCACCCCTGTAAAATCTTTATTTATTATGCGATTTTAACCGGATTTGTTTTAAACTGTAGATCTTGATAAACTGTATTTTTGAAGCAGAAAACGCCATATTTTTACAAAATACAAGGCCTACTATGTCAGTTTTTAAGAGTAAATTTTTGAGAATTCATATTAGCGATATTTTAAAATATAATCTAAGCACGGCACTGGATTCACCACCCCTCAAAACGACCCTATACTTAATTTTATTTAAAAATATTAAGAAAAAAAATACACAATAATAACTACAAAAATTTATTTTGTCAAGTTATCCATAAAAAAACATTGAAATAAAATTAAACTAATGGTACTACTACTATAAGTTCAATTTTATTTCAATGTTTTTTTTCATGGATAACTTGACAAAATAAATTTTTGTAGTTATTATTGTGCATTTTTTTTTTAAATTTTTTCAATAAAATTTAGTATAGGGTAGTTTTGAGGGGTGGTGAATCCAGTGCCGTGCTTAGATTTTGTTTAAAAAAATCGCTAATATGAATTCTTAAAAATTTACTCTTAAAAACTGACATAGTAGGCCTTGTATTTTGTACTATTGTGGAGCATTTTGCTCTTAAAATACAGTTTATCAAGATATACACTTTAAAACAAATCCGGTTAAAATTGCACAATAAATAAAGATTTTACAGGGGTGAGTCGTAAACAAATGGGTCACACTGTATATAGTAGAGATAATGCATTAAGCCTAATTTCCTATACTCGACCTTAAATAGCTTTTTATCCTTTTAAGCACAAAGAAGGAACGTTCTCCCAAAACATTAGAAATTGGTATGGTTAGGAATATTTTAAGTAAGGTTATAACATTAGGAAATGTTGCCTTGACACTCTGAATTACATCAAATTTTTCAAAAATGGTATTTTTATTTAACTGTTTACAAAATTTTCTGATGTTGTTTTGTTCAAGTAATAATGTCAGTCTTATATTTTTCCTTTAGTTTATTTATTGACTCTGTAATCTCGTTTTTATTTGTAGTAAAGAAACAATTAAAACAGGAGGTAACTTCATCATAACAGGAAACTCTTCTTTGCAAATCTTGTACTATAGCATCACATATTACATAAAATACTTGGATTCTAAACTTTTCTCTACCTTTTAAAATCACAACATTTTTTCTTGTTTAAGTGGTTTCGTCACTAAATATTTTTTTGCCTGGATCGCTTCACCTCATCTTTATAGAATATATATATTTTCTTTTATATATCCGTGATAACATTTTTTGCCTCTGATTATGTTTCATCAAATTGTGTCCTAATTTTTTCAATAAAAATCAAAAGTGAAGACAATACCTTCACACCGAAAAATATATTTAGTTCAACGGTTTCTAAAACTTTATTAATTGCATACCAACATTACCCTTTTTTCCCATATAATGGTTAAAATAAACGTTTCAAAGTTCTTAATTTTTTTATGTAAACCAAGAGCTAACAGTATGTAGGTTTATTAACGCTATTAGTACTTATTTATAAAAATAAACTATGCACAGCTTTGTTACTCTGTTTTAAGGCATGTACAGCTTCATATCTTAAGACCATCTAGTTTCTATTATTTTTGTTTTAAGAAATCATTTTATTGTTTAAAAATGCATTGGTTCCTATGAAAATATATTTTTTGTTTCACTTCTTGTAAAATAGACTTTCATTAAATTTTTTTATAAATCGACTTAATATTTAAAGGATTATATTATGAGGTTACATTAAACACCCTTTATAAGGCAAAAAATATAAAAATGTGCTTACCGTTTACAGTAACAGTTTTTTAACGCGATATAAATATTGTTTTTACTGGCTATAGGAACTAATGGTCTGTGGAACTAATACACCGCACCTAACCACAATTCACGGTACAGTCAAACTCACCATAATTAAGTGCCGTGAGTCAAGGCTGGCGTAGACTACCTAATTATGTTTGAGTCAAACAGTTTGACGACGCGTAATGGTAATTCTATAGATTATAGTGTATAGATACTTTAATAAAGGTAAAATAAAATAAAAATAAAAAAAGTTTGCATTTAAAGTTATATTTGTAGGTTTTAAAGCTAATTTAAAAATAGGTTTTGTATTTTTTACTTGGGTCGAACATTCCGGGCCCCGTGGGTTAAACCGTCACTGATTAGGTGGGTACTAGATGATTGTGTAATTTCGCAGTGTGTACCAGATGGTTGTATCTACGCTCATTAGGTGCTAGGTGGTTGGATCCATGCGCAGAGTTTACCAGGTGATAATATCCATGCGCAGTGAGTACCAGATGGTTGTGTCCATGCGCAGAAGGTACCAGGTGGTTGTAACCATGCGCAGAAAGTCTCATATAATTATTTTTTATAGATAGTGGGGGCAAGATGGTTGCAACTATGCGCGTCACTTTTTAGATATATGCGGAGTGGGCGCTGGATGGTTGGATTTATAAGCAGTTTTTACCTAATGATTTTATTACCGCGCAGTAGTTTCCGGACGTTTCCTAGCCAAAATTTGACTATTTTTATATTGTGCTGTTACTTAAACAATGTTTGTACTATTTTGTTAAAATTTACAAAATTTAATTTTTACATTATTGTGATATATAATAATTAATATCGCTTCACAATTAAAATCGGCAAAATTAAACTTAAAATAGATACCAGTAGATATCAGATAGTAGTATTCACACGAAGGAGTTCCTGCATGATTGTATTTATAAGCAGTACTTTCCGGATGATCGTACCTATTCGTAGTGTTTTTAATATTAGTGAACATAAAACATTTTTTTGATTTTCTTACGAACCGATAAAAGAAAAGCTATCTAAAAAGAAGCATTAAAAAGACTGGGCGCTGAAGCTCAAGTCAATTTTGGAACCTATTATTTTTTTTATTTATTGTATGTACTTATTCTAATAAATTGGTTATACTCTTTTTTTAAAGACAAGGATCCTTCAACTTTTGCTTTCGGCAATCGGGATATACCTTTTGATGATGCTGGACGAGTTAATAAAGAATTAAATTCTTTAACTAATGCTACTGCATTTTCAGCGAAATAATTGACGACTTTCACAAATCTGGACTTTTGTCGAGAAAATCATACCGTAGATCGAAATTATTGAACTGAAATAGCCATTTTTTGGTGCATTTGGACCCCTAGTTCTCCGCAAACACATTTCACAGACTTCTCTCAAAATGATCTTGTTAATGTGGTGGAGCTAAATGAAGACAAATTAGTTTTAGTTTATGTCCAAGAAAACCCACGCGACACCTTGTATAAATGCTATTTATGTTATACATTTATTTTTTGTATAAAATGCATTATACTTGTACTATGCTCCACACATCAAAGTCCCACCACGTGACCATGTATCATGCCACGTAACTATAATCTGTGGTGACTATAGGGCCATTCCACGCGTAAGGGATAGGATAGTTGCCGTGTTTTTATTTACAAAATAATATTGTTCTATTATATTACCAATGTCAAATTTTTATAAATAGTTCTAAACTAAAGCTGTTTAACAAGGTTTTTATTTGGCAAAATTTGGTATCGTGGTTGACTCTTTAATTCCTTAAAAACTAATAATTTAAAGAGTAACGGACGGGACTTTGCAATAGTCCCGCCCGTTACGCTTTAAATTATTAATTTTTAAGGAATTAAACAGTCAATCACGAAACCTAATTTTGCCAAATAAAAACCTTGTTAAACAGCTTTTGTTTAGAACTATTTATAAAAATTTGACATTGGTAATATAATAGAACAATATTATTTTGTAAATAAAAACACGGCAACTGTCCTATCCGTTAAGCGTGGAATGGCCCCATAGTCGTACGAATACGTACGGGACGCAGTCAATAATAGACATGAAGTTCGTA